GTAATGGTAGCCCCCCTGGTGTAATGGTAGCCCCCCTGGTTTAATGGTAGCCCCCCTGGTGTAATGGTAGCCCCCCTGGTTTAATGGTAGCCCCCCTTGTATAATGGTAGCCCCCCTGGTTTAATGGTAGCCCCCCGGTGTAATGGTAGCCCCCCTGGTGTAATGGTATCCCCCCTGGTGTAATGGTAGGCCACCTTGTATAATGGTAGCCCCCCCCTGGTGTAATTGTAGCCCCACTGGTGTAATGGTAGCCCCCCTTGTATAATGGTAGCCCCCCCCTGGTGTAATTGTAGCCCCACTGGTGTAATTGTAGCCCCACTGGTGTAATGGTAGCCCCCCTGGTGTAATGGTAGGGAAACACTGAAGAATAATCCAAGCAGCAGTTTGTGTAAAAACCTTCAGGTCAAAGGTCACCATCAGGGACTGAAGGTCCAGGTTGTCCTGACCTCCAGGTAAACCTGAGAGCGTTCACCTGTTTGTCTTCCAGATGTGCAGCGTCTCCTCGTCCACGTTGTCGTGTCTCTGCGCCTGCTCGTCCAGGAAGTCAAAGAAGTATTTGACGGCAGGAGGGACGACAGAGCCGGAGCACAGGACGCTGCGGAAGAAGTCGTCCACAAACTGCTGCAGCGTGCCCTGAAGGTAAACAAGACAGTTTCCAGTCAACATGAAGGCTACCCGCTGTCTTCTAAACCGGTTTGGACCGGATCAGGGCACCTTGACGGACAGCAGGCGGGTCAGGTAGATCTCAGTGATGGCTTTGGTCATGGCCTTGTCCTTCATGCTGCCTCTCTTTGACTTCACCTCGTCGATCTCGTCCATCGGCCTCACCAGGTGGAAGGTGTTGTCGTCCTCCAGGAGCGCGTTTTCTGCTCCGAGACAGAGACAGAGAGACAGAGACAAAGAGAGACAGAGACAAAGAGAGACAGAGACAAAAAGACAGAGACAGAGACAGAGACAAAGAGAGACAAAGACAAAAAGACAGAGACAAAGAGAGACAGAGACAAAAAGACAGAGACAAAGAGACAGAGACAAAGAGAGACAAAGACAAAAAGACAGAGACAAAGAGAGACAGAGACAAAAAGACAGAGACAAAAAGACAGAGACAAAGAGAGACAAAGACAAAAAGACAGAGAGACAGAGACAAAAAGACAGAGACAGAGACAAAAAGACAGACAGAGACAAAAAGACAGAGACAAAGAGAGACAAAGACAAAAAGACAGAGACAAAGAGAGACAGAGACAAAAAGACAGAGACAAAGAGACAGAGACAAAAAGACAGAGACAAAAAGACAGAGACAAAGAGAGACAAGAGACAAAAAGACAGAGACAGAGAGACAGAGACAAAAAGACAGAGACAAAAAGACAAAGACAAAGAGAGACAAGAGACAAAAAGACAGAGACAGAGAGACAGAGACAAAAAGACAGAGACAAAAAGACAAAGACAA